CTGGAAAAATAAAACGTCGTTTCCGACGAGCGGTCTCTCGAAAAATTGCTCGATCGTGAAATCGCTGGGCGCCCGTTGCGTCCCAACGCGCCGGCCGTTTTAACTAAGTTTTTCTCCGTTTTTCCTCCGTCTATTTCGCCTATATCGCGCCGCACCGTCCTGAAATAACAAATTCCATCCACTGAATTATTCAGCTTTTTATGGCTTTGCTTTTCATTTGCACACAAAACGCACGGGCATTATTTTTACGTCGGTCTCATGTAACAGCCCGAGCGAACCGCGCGATTGTAATTACCCACCGGTCGTCCGGAGACGTTTTTGCGGTGGACGTCGCATCGATGCGACGCCGATGAAAATAAACGTGTAATTGTATTCCAGTTTTGCGATCGCGCGACTTTACATAAATCGCCGAGTCGCGCGAGCCGTCCGACGGCACCTCCGGACTATAAGCCGGCATTCCGTCGCTCTTAACATACCGAAATGTGTAAAACGAACAAAAAGAAAAGGCTGTTACGGCGGAAAGGTGGAGACTCTTGTCGTGAACACTGTATGCAAGTCAAACGACGCATTATTCCTTGACCTGACCCAACGGAACCTCCTTTCATATTCATTAGGATCGTCCCACTTCAGCCCGCCGCTTTGGACCACGAAACGCAACCGTGTGTCTCCGATGCGACGCACGAATCGATTTCTGTGAAAGATACCGGCGGAGAAAGGATAGCTCGCACGCATAACGGAGTAGTTAAATGACTTTTAAATAATAATCGCCGATAATAATGCTGTTTTCTTTTTCTTTCTTCTCAATAACGGCGTAGTTTTCTTCGAGCGCGTACAGCTCGAAGAAGATGGAGAAATCAACATCGCTGACGGATTGGCGTTTTCCCCATTTCGGGATCGGATGCTCCCTCGCGATCATTGCTAATATTCGTCTCCTCTCCTTTCTCTTTTTTTTTTTTTTTTTTCTAACTTCGATGAAGTGCACCAGATGAGACTCGACGTTTTATCGCGCGCAAGAATCGTCCGAGCACAATGCTATGCATTCCCGTGTCGCAGGGCCGTATGCATAACGCCTGTTGCGTGCCCATTAGCATTTTGACAACGTGTATCGTTCATCACGATAAGATTTCCGTATCGATTACGCATCTGCATCGGAATACGCTGAATCCGAACGTTTTCCATTTCAAGAGCCCTCTCTCCCTCCCTCTCCCGCTCCCCTCCCACCCCCCCCCCTCTTCCTCCTCCCTCTCCCCGCCATTTTGAAGACAAACGAGACGTTTCTGTCATAGGAATCTAATTGTCTCGACTTCCTTCGACTATCAAACTCGCTCGTATAAAACGTCCAACGTGTAATCGTATAGATAAATCCTGCTGATAAATGTACACGGGAAAAAAATTAGTCTGCAATCCAAACTATACATAATCTTATATAAGCAGGAATATTATAATTTTCATATGCAAGATTTTTAATTCTTGAGTTAAGCAAAAGTTAATACAAATTCAATCAAATCGAGATTTAAAACTTTTAAGAAGAATATTCTTATTTATTTGAGAATATATTTCTTATTCTTATTTATATGAGAATATTTTTCTTGATTTAAAATTTAATTTTTTATTTGTTTATTTAAATTTTTTTTTCCGTGTGGACTAAGATAGATTCATTTTCCAGAAATTTATCCAGGTAGGAGAAGGAAATTCGCATCTCGGCTCGTTCGGAGGAACAAACAAAAAAACGCGAAACGCGTCTTCGTCTTCGTAAGTCTATCTTTTGTTACAGAGGGATGCAAACCACGCCGATGACACCGAAGGGACCTTCTGGGACCCTGGGTCGTGTGTCGACAATCGCAACGCGAGGAATCAGAATCATGTGCGCCAGCTACAGGAACAGCTGGCACAAGCCACCGTGAAAGTACGCGAATTAGAATGCGAGCTGAAGCACGTTCAGAAGGTAATAATTGTTAGCGGCAAAGAGTCTCTCGTTCTCTCTCCCCGTGATGCGACGTTATAAGTTGGTGGAAATAATGAATGTGCAGATGAACAACGCGTCCTTCAAGGATGATATATCCGACGGACATCAGAAGGCGGAGGTCGTGCGGGCGAAACAAGACATGCTGAATCGTATAATACAAATGGAGGAAAAAAAGGTACGGAACCGATATATCAATTATATATATTATCTTTTAATGTCATCCTTCTGCCACGATTCTTAATCTCGAGTAAGGATGGGCCCGAAGTCGCGGTGAATAGTCGGGGAGAGAAGGCGATCTCTCGTACGGGACGTAAGAACGGGTCTTAAGTAAAACGTAAAGTTATGTCATCAAAGAAAGGAAAAAGAGAATACGGTCTTCCAGGAATGAGGCGTGTCGGACACTTACGAGGAATAAATACTTATGTTACTTTAATTCCCTGGGAATAAGTATTATCCCTAGGGAATAATACTTGGATTAGTTTTTAGATGTCGTGTCACAACGAATTAAGTAAATAAGATATTATTACGAATAGAAAAACTCGTTCTCTATTCTTAGTTTATTTTTTTCAAGTTTATCGATTGCAATTTATGATTTCTTCGTTGTCTTGAATAGCAAGCGATTTTTTTTAATTTATGAAGGATAGTTTAAAAAAAGCCCGCGTGAATATTTAAATAAAATTCTATTGAGATTGTGAACGGAACGTTAACGATATTCAGCATCGACGTTTTGCGTTTTCTTAGACTCGAGAGGCAGAACGAAATGCTAAACATATCCAATTGGACGAAGTTAGTCTCATCAATGATTTCCGTTCGGTAATTTCGAAATTAAATTCACGCGAGAAGTTTGATTTGATCAGCGGGGCGCTGAAAGCTTTAGAAATTGAAAACGAGACGCATGAAAAAATTAAGGATCACGAAAAACCCAACGACGAACTCGAGAAAGTCGATGGCTTCGCGAATAAACCTTTAATTCTGAAACACACAAGCTCGCAACAACAAGATAAATCAAACGATACGATCGAGGAACTTTCGATTAAAGAGGAAATGTTGCAAAAAAAATAGAGGAGCTTCAAAATGAAAACAAAGATCTTCTGGACGCGATGGAAAAATTGGATGAGGAGCATTCGCAGTCAATTGGTAAGTAAACGATATTTTTTTCTTTCTATCGACCGTTGCGATGTAGCTTTTTGCCAATGCCGAAAGCTACAGTAATATAAATTCCGACTTGCGCAGAAAAGCTATTGTCGCTCAGAGAAGAAAGCAATAAAAAGCATCGCTCTCTACAAAACGCGTACGAACAGCTTTCCATAGATTACAAGGAGGCTCAGAAAAAAATTATCGAGCTGCAAAACGACACGTCGAAATACGATGAAAATATTTGTACGAAATCGGTTCATCAATCTGCTCAGACGGATAATGCGGATAAATCGGATAAACACACCCAGATAACAACAGTCCCTTCGCAAGAATCCGTAGATGCGGATGCGAGGGTTTTAGACGCTATCACTGAGAAGGTTAAGATGATTTTGAAGAACTATACCGTAAGTAACGTTGAACCGGGCGTAACGATTTTCGAGGCTATCGCGAAACAATACGTCGACGCTAGGTGGAAACTGGACGTTTTGGAGAGGAAGGTGACGGAGCTCACCAGGGATCTGAAGGAGACCGAGGAGATGAAGGATGGCCTGCATATGGAATGCGAAGAACTGCAATCGCATCTCGATTCGCTGTTGTTGGAGAAAAATATGAGAATGAAGCCGTACCAGGGCCTGGAGCTGAATTTGCCATCTATTCCCGAGGCGAGCGAGGAACGAGTAGCCTCCCTGGAAATGGATATCGAATCCCTGCGGGAAGAAGTGAAACGCCTCCTGGTTGTCAACAGAACCATACGAGAGGCAAATTCAATGAGCGATCCGACGTCCGCTGTACAAAGCAACGAAGTGCCTTTAACGAGCAACGATTATTCACAGGCAGATACAAATCGCAAACTATTTACGTTTACAGAGGAAAACGAGAAGCTTCCAGTAGTTTTAGAAAATGGTGAAAGCTCAAACGAGGATGTAAGAATATCGACCGATCGATCGAAACTCAATCATGAAATGACGAAGGAAGAATTGGAGGATTCGATGTCGTTATCCGAAACAAAATTGCTACGGGACAAATTTTCACTTTTACAAGACACTGTAAATAAAATGGCAGAGGAAAATAAAAATTTGTTACGGAAGAACGAGTACTTGAATGCGCAGTTACACGATAGAGACACGCAAGAACGTAATTTACAAGAAGAAAACGGTTATCTATTGGAAGACTTGAGGGAACAACTCGATATGGTCAATCGCGAAAAATTCGAGTTGGAGAATAATATTTTACGTAAGGAAGAGGAACTGGACGCGATGCGGATTCAAGTTGATGCGAGACAATCCGAAATAGCGAAATTGAGTCAGGATAATGATAGATTAATTAAGGAAAATATATCTCTGTCGGAGCAATTAACCGCTACGCACGACGAATCCTTGGATAAGATCGAGTTGCTCAACACCGAGATGTCATTGCTTCAGCAAGAGCACGAGGATTTGAAGCAGGAGGTCTCGATTTATAAGGAGGAGTTGCCTTTGCTGAGGGAAAAATTATACGAGGCGCAGAAACGTTATACAGAACTGGAAGACGAATATTATGCGTGGAAGACGCAAAACGAGCGATTCGAATTACATAAGAAAGATACTCAAAGTCAGACGATCGAACTCGGAAACAAATCGAGCCTTGAAGAGTCACCAACGGAAGACCTGGGCTCGCTGCAAAACAGATGTAGGCTTTTGGAACAAGAAATAGAAATACTTCGTACATTGAAAGAAACGCAGGAATTTCGAAAAACTTCAGTAAATGCGGATGAAATTAATAAAGTTGTACCTTCCGTTGATGAAGCTAATTTAATCGGAGTGAAAGGTTCAATTACGGATGGAGAACTTTTAAAAACGGGAGACATTGATGTAACCTGTAACGATAAAGAACGGCAAAAGTTGGAGTCACTTGTGGCTGAAGAAAGGCGAGAAAAAGATATAATAAAGGCACATAATGAAAACTTGACGAGTGAAATTAACGATTTACGAAGCAAGTTGCAAACTGCCTTGGAAAATAATAAAGAGTCAACAGAGACGGCTAAACGAATTATTGACGATTTCAGCAACTGCGTTCAACAAAAAGATCAGGAGATAAACGTTTTGCAAGCCGAGGCAATTCACGCGAAGAATGTCATTGCGCAAATTTCGAATGATCTTGCCACGGTCCAAGAACGGAAGAGCGAGCTCGAACACCTCGTTTCCGTTAAGCACAACGAAAACTTGCAATATCAGGAAGAGATCCAGAAGTTAATTCAACGCGTAAATGAACAAGCGGCTCACATCCAGGAATTGGTTTCGAAGCTAACGGCGAACGCTGAGGATCAACAGAAAGATCGTAACCATAATGGAGTTGATCAAGTCGTCGAACATTCCAGATTGAATACCGAACTGGCGGCTCTGACTAAAAAATGCGACGCTCTGGAAGCTGCCCTGATACAAGAACAGTCCAACAGCCGAATCCTGCAGAACCAGCTTATCGAAGTTCAAAACAAGGAAGCGAATTCGGTTAAAGAATTGGAGCGACTGAGAACGCACTTGGTCGAGATGGAGTCGAGCTATACCGAGGAGGCCCTGATCGCCGAGAGTAATCGTCAGGAACTAGAGGCGAAATTACTGCAAGCCGAGGAAAAAGTAAAGAGCAGCTCGACCGCCTTTACGTCGGCAAGCATCAGGGCTAATCAACAGGTGGAAACGCTGCAGCAACAAATAGCTCTGATCACTCAACAGAGAGACCAGATACAGGCGAAATTATCCGCCGCGCAGGACAACATCCAATCGCAGTCTGCCTCCTTGACTAATTTACAAATAGTCCTGGAACAATTTCAACGAGGTGAGCGAGTTTTCTATACAAGTTTTATACAAGTTTTATATAAGCTTTATATAGTGTCAGTTGTCGCAGAGCAATCCTATCTGATCTTTGTCTCACAAATTTTATGATAAATATATTTATTTATAGCATAGCTCGAATGTTTACATTGATGACGTGTCCAACTTACAGATAAAGAACGCGACGTCTTGGCGGCTACGGAGAGACTTCGATCTCGACTTACCGAATCATATCAAATACGAGATAGTCTATTGGATGACAATTCGAACCTTCAGGTTTGCTTCCCCCTCCCCCCTCCCTTTTTTCCCATATGATCACGTAAGAGTCCCACTGAATTCAGTTCGGTATCTTATAAGAGCACATACGTGTGTTTACAGAAACAATTACTTGAAGCTAGAGAAGGCTTGAAGGCTGCCTCTAGGCTGAGCGACGAACTCGAGAAGAAGGACAAGCAGATCGAGCGGCTCAACGAGGAAGGTAACTATCGAAGATCACGTACGGTCTCTGGTCTCACCTGCACCTGCATCTTGTTCCCTGTTTTTATGGCATGGTTAATGTTTTTTTTTTCCTTTTTCCGATTTAAATTGTTTTTTATGCATCACGAGAAGCAAGTTGAAAATGAGTTTTTCCCCGCATTTCTCACGATACGGAAGGCTCTGGTCACGTATTTTTCTTACGCATACTCCCGCTTTTATCTTAACCCATTGCGTTTTGACTGACAACAGTCGAGTTACGCGCTACGGCACAAATTTAATGCGCCAGGTATAAATCACGTAGAAGTTAATATGAAAGAGAGAAAACGCGAGAAATAAGAGGAACAAAGAATGGAGGATAAAACCGTATCGGCGCGATTCGATGGTATCATCAATAATCCCGCTGGCGTCGCGACAGCCTCGTGCTGTCAGCAGAGAGTGCAACATCTCGATAACTATGAAAAATTGGCCACGTTATGCAAATGTATATGAAGCACGGTTGTTTCGTGGCTGCGAATCGAATTTCTCTTTCCGAGTCGGGCTGACGGGCGCAACGGAGATCATGGCTAATGTGATAAATAGATCTAACCAAATTATGTGTGAAAAAAAATTTCGCGCTCTCATTCTGTCTCTAATGATAGCGAGATTTCTCGACAGCTGCGACGACGACGAATCGGCAAACAATCAGATGCATGTCGAGGGCACTAGTAAATTTTCACTCGACAGAATTCTAAACGGAAACAGTCCCTTGTATATGGCTTCTTTTTGTAAATAACATAAAGCTACGTATACGCGGACGTTTAGAGGCGATTTGAGGTAGCACCGGATGGGACATCATATTATTATATAACACACACGATCCGAGAGGAGAGGTGTAACGATAAAAGCGTGCATTGTCGGAAAACGCAAAACGAACTCCAATATAGAATCAGTGTGTTCGCGTTCTGTGACTAATCTGCGAAAGCAAACACGTACACAGTCCGGTGATGTAGTCAAATATCAGCTGGTAATTCTGGGATTTGTGACAGTAGCCCAGGATTCTTGCTGGTATCTGGCTACGAACTGGATCATCGCCTTTTGCATACTCACAAATCACGTATTGGTTGGTTCATGCAATTTGCCGCTGGTGCTGGTATTACGTTTTCTGCACTTTTATCACACGCGAATATATATTGTTTTTCCACCCCTGTTGGTGACTCTAACGAGAAGCATCCGGAAACTTAGAAGGAAAGGACAGGCATTAATAATTGCACCTTCTTTTGACGATAAGCTGGTATTCCTCACCGCCTGTGTCCCTAACAGCGCTTGTAAATTTTGAGAACGTTCGGAGGATATCGTAAAAACTAAACTCTATGTATTCCTTTGCATATTCGAAATAAAAATTGAAAATGTTCTGGAAATATGTTCAAATTTTTTTATTTATCAGAGGAATATATTTATATGTGTGTGTGTGTGTGTGTGTGTGTGTGTGTGTGTGTGTGTGTATGTCTATATATGTCTACATTCAATTATATGTTTTCTGAGGCTATCTACATGTTTAATATATTTACATTTAGTGTCACTAAGAAATATGTTTACATCAGGATTGGATAATTAATTCTTTAAGTAAGTTAAAGTTAGCTATAATAATTTATAAAATCAATTTAGTTTGCGTTTTGAAATTAAATTGAGTTAAACTGAATTAAAAGTTAATTTTATAAAAAGTAAATATTTACAATATTTATAATGAATTATAATAATATCATATTTTGTAATAATTAGATTAATTTAAATGATAAAATTAGAACATACAATATAAAAAAAATATGAAGGCAATTTCAACTTGGTTAAAAATTTAAAAGTCAAAATAACTGTTTTAAAAAATAATTACTTAAACTCAAAAGTTATTAACTTTATTACTTAACTAATTAACTAGTTATTAGCCAATCTTGATAAAGATATGTGTGTGTGTGTGTGTGTGTGTGTGTGTATTTCTCAGATATATTCATCATATTAAAATAATTTCAGTATGTATGTAAGAAAAAGAAAAAAAATCCTTTTTTCCGAACATTTTCAAAATCTAAATGTGTAAATCGAATCATTATTTTCGTTTTTGTTATCTCGCAAGTTGTAACAATACGGTCAATTGCCTAATTCCGTAGTAATTTACTTTTTTGCATCAAAACAATATGTTGTTACATTTGCATGTAGTAGGTTTTTCTTTTTTTCTTTCAATTTATATTGATGAGGCTGGTAAGATCACGTAATTATTCTATGCAATAATGTACTTTGGTACGTCAAAATGCATGCAAAATAGTAGCAATGTACAAAAAATAGATACGAAATAGTTTATAATTCCTTCTTCCCGTTCCACATTATGTATAAGCCAATTGTATTAACGATATGTGTATAAATCAATTCCATACGTCATATTGCGCAAAATAATTATGTAATAATTGTAATAAGTAGGATTATTATCATGAAACAATTGCCACCGCTTTTATCTACAAATACATTTGTTGTTCAGTATCATTAAAAATTTTAATGTCTATATGATAGGCGATATTAAAGAAAGCTCCAAAGAGCTTAGGAGAGTCAAGTTATAAATAGTCGAGTAATAAAATCGCGCTATTTATTTTTACGAATGTGTTACGATGATGAGTAATAAGAATTTCTCATCCTGCATACTATAACTAAGTATTAGATATAAAGATATAAATATATTAAATTACGTCAATGAAAATGCACGAAAATATTGAATGTAAATGCATTACGAATAGTCATAAATTTGGTAGCGATGGCCGTGGGTAATCTCATGCGGTAACTGTGAGCGTGTGAATACAAAAAGCTCATATTACCTCGTGGGGTTTCCCACCCGTTACCAAGATCCGTCAAAATTGTGAACTTTTCAGATCAGTCAAACATTTTTGGCAGAGAGATCGTTCATTTCTTTTTTTTCCTTTGTTTGGCCTTTGGCAAAGAAATTTATGGCATGTGACGATCCCAATTTTTTTATCTAACTATTTATCGTAATTCATAAGTTTTGACGAGTGGCAAAAAAGTAAAACTTATGTAAGTTACATATGTAAGTTATTTTTCACTCTCTCTCTCTCTCTCTCTCTCTCTCCCCTTCTGCCTCTGAGAAATTCCGTTAGGACGTGCCGCGATACGTGACCCCGGAGTTCGGATCGTTTTACTAAAATGCTTCTTTAATTCTAGTGGCATGCGCGCAATCTTAGTTTCGTAGAACGGCATGATAAACGAAGAATGCAGCATGAGCAACTAAGGCGCAGGCGAGAGTATTGCATCAGGTACTGGTGTGATATCGAGGCAACCAGTACTTGTGTTATACTTACGCTCGTGTCTTTTCGAGCTACCAATACGCCAACTTTGCAACGATGGACTGCGCATGTGTATATATATATATATATATATATATATATATAAAAAAGATCAAAACATTCGATGCAATCGATTCCTTAAATGAGTATCAATCCACGCTCCACAAAGATTTAGTGGTTCTCTGCGGACGAATGCATCTCACTAAATCCGTCTACCCTCTCACTTTTCTCTCTCGAGTCGAAATTTGCAGTTTCAAGTATTCGATTATCTCCTTTGTTAATTATATCAACAATAATTGCTAAACGCTATAATCTTCGTTTCTAGTGGCTCGATTGACGACTTCGTTAAATTCTATCGACCAAAAGATGAAAGAAACAACGGAACAAGAGAAGGGAAAAGTTGACAAGTAAGTAAATATATTCCGGAAAAATGGTTAATGAAACAAACAAAAGTATTTTCTGTTAATTCTTACAGAATCCTCATCAAAAATCTTCTTTTGGGTTACTTGTCCTCGACGACGTCAGACAAATCATCGATTCTCAGAGTCTTCGCCAACGTTCTGGACTTTACCGAATCGGAAAAAGACAAGACTGGCTTGAACAACGTGACTACTCAAGGCGGTCGACAAGCCAACAGAAGTGGTGGCTCAACGGTATAGATTTACTTATTACTTTTCATTAAATTATTATTTCTACTTTCTACTTTCGGTAACTCGGCCAGTTGCAACATCCAAAACGCCTTTTATGCCTCATAGGATCAGGAAGCGTCCTTATCAGCGGCCTTCGTGAGGTTTTTAGAAAACGAATCTAAGCCAAAGCCTCAGCTACCGGCTTTGCCGATCGTGAATTCAGTAAGTTATAACAATTACACAGTTACGACAATAGCCGTGATGATCCTTCATTAAAAAGCATTACTCTCATTATGCCTTATAATCACAGCCTTCGTCGCGACCAGGGCATAACAAACAACAGTCGTCGTCGTTGTCGTCGTCGTCGTCGTCATCATCATCGGCGCAATCGACACTATTGTTGTCCAACGTTGCTCTTCCAACATTCCCAAACTTCGTTCCATCCAGAAATACGGGATCTATTTTGAAGGAGGTACTAAAAGATAGTTGATATTAAGCGCATTGTATTAAACATTGTACAAATAATATTAGAAGCTATAATACATTCGATTGCATTTTATATCAATCCGCGATAGATGATTTCTACCGCCCGACTCGCCATTATCCTACTCAATCCTAATATTTTTCCAAGCAAACAACTGTAAAAAAATTGTAAAAAAACGAAAAGAACAAAAAGAGATTCGTTTCATTTGAAATAGTTTTAATGTAGCTATATAATGTTACAATGAACAAAAAGTATACTATACCGCCGCACTCTGCCGGCGCGGCAAAGTAACAAGATTCTCTATTTATATATAACGGTGACAGAACATCGTACTATATAAGTAATAAATACATAGTAAAGTTTCGTTGTGTAACTAACGCGCGTACTAAGGGAGCATAAATACAAAATAAGACTATGTATTCAAACAAAATTAGTATACAAAATATAAATCTATTCAACGGTTTCATAACACATACATTATTATCATTATTTTATACGAGAAAGATATATACATACACAGATCAGTATTTCTTCATTGAAGACTCAACCATATCAGTATCAAAACTGGATAGCATTTTATAAAATTAGAATATATATATATATATACTCTTTTTCATTGAACAACTGAAGCTAATTTTTCAATAATTATCACAAGAGCAAACAGACAATAGCCGTTAATAATAAATTTTTTATAATCTCTATAAACAGATATTCTCCGTTCATTTCATTACGTCTATATGTTGACAAACATGTTTTTATGCCAATTACCTCAGACAGACCAAACGAAAAATTTTTATAAACATTCGATTATTTAATTATCATAATTATTTTTTCAAAATACATGATTACAACTTTGTTGTTACTATAAAGAATATTTCTTTATAAATGACAATCTGGATTTGATAAACAATACAATTTCAGCCATTATATAAAAATCAATAAATTGTTAAATGACAAAAATTGATTTTAAACTATATTCGATAAATTTTATATAATATAATATTGGCGAATTCTTCCACCAAAATTTGCGAGAGGAGACAGATTTTAAGTAGCTCTTTACATTCGGGTAAACAATGTGAATAAACGCCTAAATTTTCTTAATTTCTTTGGAATTCTCTCTGGAATGAAAGTTTGTACGGTGTTATTTCGCGAATTTCGCGAACCAAATCTTATATAGATATGAGTTATATTGTCTTACATCACGTGCACCGTAAAACTTTTCATAAACATATATCGAATATCAAAATGGTATTATCTCCTATCAAAATATATAGTTATCCGTTGTGCCTAGTTTAGCGTGAACTGTATTAGCAGCCGCAGTTTTTTCAAGTTTCAAACAATATAAATGTTCAACTGTTGAAATTTTATATTTAAATTTCATTCAATGCAAGAGCTATCGAAAAATTATCGATTAGAAAAAGACTTCTAAAACAAAAGTCAATGCACGTATATATTTTAAAAACAAATGTCGACATAAAACCAAAAAAAAAAAAATTTACCGGACAAATATTCGGCCGATTTTCGCCGAGATTAACTTGTGTTGATTAACACAGCGGTATGAAATAACGCGGTAATTGTAACAACGGAGTAAAATATTAAACATGAATACGTCATTCCAGTAGCACATGCGGTATTTCGCGTAGTGAACGCGTAGTCCGAACCTGATTAATCATTTAAATTTTAGGTATAACGCGTACGCGCGCGCGCACAACGACGTGTTAGTTTTAACTGAGTGCGAATGTTTACCTATAATATAGCATAAGCGGAACACTTTTGTAGCAATTATTCTCGTACGTGACAAATATATAAAACATTTCACAGCATGCAGCCATTCCGTTTTTGTGCACCTTCTCAGGATTTTTCTTATCACATGTTTCACTATACACTAACGAGATTCGAGTAATACCTTACAAGCAGAGGTATATGAATTTCGAGTAATTTCAAATCTAGAAACGACATATGTCGAGATGTTATTAACTATTTCCATACGTAATGGAAACACGCACTTTTGACGAAAGAGTATCCAGTACTTCTCTATATTAATCTTGTCGTGCAACGATCCATACACATATCTCAGTCTGTTAATAAAGCGTTAATCTTTTCCTATAAAAATTGTTTGTTAAAAAAAAAAAATTCTTTTCGAGCATTCCCTATTAAGTAACCTGGTAATCAAAAGACATTCAATGTTCTAATACTCGAGTCACCTTTCTTGATTGTCGTCGCTTTCAAATAGTAATCAATACTAATGTAACGTCATGTCTAGCCAAAAAAAAAAAAATCACGGATACTCGCTGCTACGCGATTCTACGCAATCTCACGCAATCGAGATCGCTTGTACCATGTCTCCGATTCTTTACAATAACCAACGATCTCATCTAAAGCGTTATCGGTACTCTTTCGGTCCTATTGTCTACTATACTACATACATATCAGCGTCAAAGTTTCGTTTCTCACACCGACGCATGACGAGTGGACTAAAAATGCGATCGTATATCATAACTTCATCTCCCATAAGACGATATGTGCATCGTTGCTGTTGGGATCTTTGAATGTGTACGTCGATTTCGAACTTTTGTCAATAGTGGATTGCGCATGGAGCTGCCTCCAATTGATATAACCGCGTCCACCCATCAGCGTTAATACCGTCCTCTTGGGCTGATCTATTTGCTGCGTCGCTTTACCATTTTTTTTGCTGTTTGCCTTAAGATTGGTCGCGGACGTTGCTTCCAATCCGGATTCGACTACGCTATTGTTAGGTGTGGATAGGTCATAAGGACCATTACGACTAGCTATGCTACTATTACGAGATAATTTTCCAGTTTTTAGAGATAAGTTCTCCTCCGATCCGGAAGATGTGTACAACGAGCTGGCGTGAGAGTCCACCGACCAGTTGGAAAGATCCAGTGACCTAGGCCTAGTGATTTTCATTTTTAATCTACGGTCCAAGGTACTCACTTTATTTGGTATCGCCGCTAACTCTGGGTCACTCCTTCTTAACGACTCGTAAATGGGATCTATGCCCGAATTGTTCTCATTCTCGTAATCTTTCACGTACATCAATTCACCGTAAAGTCCGTAAACATCACAGTTTTCACCGGAACTTTGCGAGCTGGAGAAGGAACTTGATAGAAATCCGCAACCGGCGCCCAATCCTCTCGGAAGTGTTTTCGAGGCTCTGCAATCGTATTCCTTGCTTCGCTTTCGTCTCAGCATCACCGGACTTCCCGTCAGCTGTTGTTTCAATTTCACGATATTGCTGGACATCGAGGAATCCAGGCTCGCTCGATCGCGCGACCTCTGCTCGGTATCTTTCGCTCTCAACTGTACACCTTCGTCATCAACATTGACGCGTTCCTTTGCAGAGCACACTGTATTTTTCGTATTCTGTATCGCTAATAAAAACGTGATCGGACCGAAGTGGGCATGATATGAAATGTTTACGCGACCGCTGATGATAGGCACACCTTCCAATCGCGGTAGTGGAATAGTCAAGCTAATACCTACGTTAGTACCAACCCATAAGAGACCCTTGCACGCTAAAAGCGCCGTGACTGTCACCGTGGTTTGATTATTAACGGCAAGAGTGTTGCCGCCGTATTGCGAGTTGGCGGGATTATTTATTTTCGTTACTCTCAGAACATTAGATGCTATATTGATGTCCTGCAGATGTTTAAACGTTTCCGTGTGATAAAGGCAAACTGTGCTCGAGTTTTTCAGGGCGACCCAAAGACCGACTCCGGAATGGGCCATGAGCTTCACGTTCCCGACGTGTTCGTGTTGCACACTGAAGCTCTTGGTAATATCGCCCGAAGTAGCGTTAAGTACCCACACCTTCTTGCCACAAGCGGCATAAACCGACGTGTTGATTGGCATTAAACACGATACAGGATCGTTACCCAATGATATGGTAAAGGGATCCTTGAAATTCCACGCGCCGTCGACTTGCCGTTTGAACAAGAGTAATAAACCCGTGCCTAAAGCTACGAAAACGTTGTCGCAATGATACTTGATTTCTATTACGGGTCCTGAAACGGGATAACTGCCAATCTCCTCTTCTTTTTCAGGTTCCGTCGCGGCATAAATTATAATCCTCCGAGAATCCGTGCCCATCCATACAAGATCGCTGGCTAGCGTAGTAAGATCGCTGGACACTCCTTTTACGAACTCGATAGCGCTCACTTTAGTTTCAACCAGATCGAAAGTAGTTATACGTTTCAAAGAAGTCGCCGAAGCTGTTATCGATTGGCCGAAAATTGTCACATGACTGGATATACCGTCTCCCGTACATATCCACAAATAATTTTGACTTCTACCGCGCCGTCTGATGGGACGTGAATTTTCTATGGAATAATAACAACCGCAACGCACCTATAAACAAAATACATGCGTTACACATAGGATAGTGATACACATTACATGTCTTTTAGTTCTTAGACTTACTTCAGTCTGATGTTGCGAGTGATATACCGCTTGTGAACTAACGAAAAGTGGCATTTTTGTGGACGGCCTTTGCTCTTGTTCAGGTACTTCCCAGGACGGAGAGTTATTAGGATCCAAAGCTAATTGCGCCAATCTTAACTCGGTTATCCAGTCCTTCTTCACTAATGGATTTTCTGTTTGAAACGTATACCTCTGACCTTGTTTTGTGACTAGTTGAAGACAACAACTATCGACCCATACCATATCCTCATCTTTTTGCTGTATCGACATTTGTATTGACTGTAGAATTTGCTTAGTGGTCTGCAGCGTCATTCCCTTTAACGAGAGAAACACGATCCAATTAATTAATTTACACAAGTTGATTATAATTCTTAAATTTCATACCGTTACTGCTATATTTATTTCAATATATAAAGGCATACAGTAGCGGATGTATCAATTTATCTTTACCTCGTATCTGCCTTTTAACTGTGCCACTAAATCACTTATCCTGGACATCACTTCGTAATCGTGCATAAGATCGTTCATCTCTACACAGAGATTATCCGCGTCGGCCGCCTGTTCACATTCTCCACTTTTGTCAGATTTCAAACTGCCGCCTTTATTCAAACCAGCAGTGAGTAACCGACTTAAAGTTGGAGAAATGTTGGTGTCTTGGATCTAAAATGAATTCGTTAATAATGTTAATAATTTTATTTATATATGAAAATGAAGAAATGTTCGATCAGTTTACTCTCATTAATAATTAATTTCACTATGTGACAAAACTATAAATTGAACTATATGTTTTTTTCTCATTTACCTCAATATCCGACACTGGATATGTCCATTTTAACGTTAATCGTTCATTCCCTGAAAAATCTTCCGTAGATCTCGGAGTGACGGAAACGCACACCACTAAATCATTCAATAGCAATAATCTTCTTCTCTTGGATTTCATTATCATGCCATTTTGATTAAATTCCTATAAACAATTATACATTAATGCATGTCACGTTGTGTTTAGAGTGAATGTTTAAAAATTCGTCAAATAATAAATTTTACCAATTGTGTAACATTGTCTTCCCTGATAAGATAACGCGACGTTGAAGAAAGTGGACGGTGTGATAATTTTCCGGAGACATGCCGCAACATTTCTTTAAACGCTTGAAACTGTTCCGCCTCTCGTTTTCTTTCGTTTAGCATTTCTGCCAAACTCTCGAGCTGCGTTAATGCTAGTTGCAACGACATTCTGTCATGATGTCCTTGTGGCGTATGCTTCAATAGATCCTAAATGTAAAACATTATTATATCGCCACTGAAACTTGTCTCTTATACATCATTAACATACTCACTTGCAAAAACAAGATAAATTGTGGAAACCTCTGCACTGGTTTGACCATCAATCCAAAGAAGGATAACCTATCATGAGCACTTATTTGCTTTACCTACAAAAATAATTACAAGATTATAACTGAATCACGACATTATAACTGAATCGAGACATTCGTACGAATCATTTTGTGAGATAGTACCTTGAAGAAATCAGCGAGCGCGGTTTTTCTCTTCGATTCTTGTTTAGCTAAATCCATTGCCACGGAAAAATTATTTATAAAGCCACTATAAATGTCAAGAACAATGGCCTTGCTGAAACTTGCGACGAATACATCTCCTAATTTTTCATCCTTATCCCAGGATCGTACACATTCCGCCAGAGCGATTCTAAATAATGTATGGCATTGTAAAATTTCGGGCAGCCTATGAAACAACGTCGCGATTTTAGATTGACTCAATATAGGTGGCGAAGATTCCTCCAACGGTTTCTTGTAATCCTAAAAATTAATAAAAACATTTGTAAGAAAAAGACTCGTCGTTCTTCGTTTTTGATGCACAGTTGGATCATCTTTTTTTGTACGTACGTTTACCAGTCTCTGTAAAGTAGACACATAACTATTTTCAGAGTGTACTATCGCGGCCACGATATGTCTACGTTTTAGTTGCTGAGGAGATAAGTTCGGAGGTGGCGATGGGAGTGTAGGCGGAGCCTGTCTTCGCTGTTGCATACATTGAAACTGTACCATAGCACTGTTCTCTTCATCAACCTAAAATGATTATCCAAATATTGAATATTAATAATGAATATTTTTTTTTTAACCACTTGCATTAAGAACGCGCATAGAATGATTCATCGAGATGGAAAAATGGTAGGAGTGATATTCACCTCGCAGAGCTGTGGCATTTGCGACGTTTTGACCGGGCTGGTCAGAGACACCGTGTCCGAGGAATCGACGTCGTAATGATGCGCCGAACCTCGGCGAATGCTGAACCACCTCGAGAGGCGGCCGTGGTTCCCCGGGGACTCCAGGATGTCCACGTTGTTCACCGGTACATTCTGAAACCGCCACTTGTCGCAAAGCGTGCGCGCCTTATGCAACGTGTTTCTCAATTGACAGTTGCTTCTGCAAGGCAAACAGCAAGTTTTCATTATGGACTTTAGTTTCGCCGGCGTTGTTATGTAACCAGATTGAACTTACTTAATACTGATATTACTCTTCTCGCTTTCGTCATCGGAGGAGAGATCGTGGTCCGACGCGGAGCACCAGGAGTCCTCGCTTCTGGCGGACTGCGTGGACGTGTTGGATCTGCTTGTCTCTAACGAGGAATGATGCGCGTGCGAATTCCCGCTAACCGTTTCCATTTTGCCCGGTCCTACGTCATCCCATGATCTGCACCTTGAACGAGGCTCATCTGGAAAAGGAACAACGAACTCACGATTATATACGAAAGGACAACTTCGCGCGGCGTCTACCGTCTGGTTTACAAAAACAAAAAAAAAAAAGAAAGAAACAGGAAAGAGAGAAATAAAGAGGGAAAAAAAAAAAAGAATCTCGCGACCTCGGGCTACAACAACTTCGTGACTCTCTGTGTACAATGAAACCAAGTAAGTAGTCCTAACGCGTCATCATATCGTCATCTATAGATATCAGTTATGCGTCACCATTGCGAGAACAGACGATTCTTTCCGTGTACCATCCTCTCGACGCGAGATACGATCGCGACGCACCACGCCGACGACCACGGCCGTTACGAAGAGCGAAAAGAGAAAAAAAAATCATCAAGCGCGAACGTAACGCGAGCGGCTCGCGAATGCGGGCGAACGCATCGAGATCGAGATCGAGATCGAGAGAGTCAGGGCCCCCCTCGCGCGGAAGCGTCGTCTCGTTTGATTGGACCTTCCGCTGTGTCGCGCGCTCGCGTTACCAGCGCGTTAACGTCGCGACGATAATCGGGTTAATGCGACGTGCTCGGCGTCCCGTTCCCACGTTTCTCGCGTATGCGAACGGCAAAATGCGCGTTTACGCGCGACGATCTACGACGCAATCGCGCGAAGAGACGACGACGACGACGACGACGACGTGCGAGGCCGGTCTCCACTATCGAGACCGCGAAGCTGGACCCTCCCGACTCGGTCCTCCGTCTCGCGGAAACAAAGAGACACGCGTTTCTGCGTTTCTCGGCCTCGATCCCATACGCACAAGTAATATTATGTACCATACGCGGAGCGTCGACGAAGCGTCGAGAAAAAGAAAAAAAACGGCATCGTAAAACACGTAATCGAACACGTAATCGGCGTTTACGACGCTGCGAGGTTCTTTTTTTTTTTATAAGAACGGAGGGCACACGACGAGAAACGACGAGAAACGACGAGAAACATTCACGAATGAGCGTTGTCCAAAACGTTGTCAATCCTAACGTCTCGTTCCGCTGTGAAATGAATCCTACGGGAAGAAGAAGGACAAATGAGTTTTTGTCACGCGGTGAGACGTAACCGGCGTCGCGACCACACGTGTCACCGCGGCTGCACGAAAATCGTGTGTGCGTGTGTGTGTGTGTGTGTGTACATACGCCTACTCCGCACTCCGGGGGATTGCCCAATACTTTCACGGAGGAAAAATACGAGACGAAATCGGGGTCCCGAGTCCGAGGCTCTCGAGTCTACTCCACGCAGCCCACGCACCACTGGAGGAACGTTGCGTGCTCGCGCGTGTAAACGTCGCGTCGAGTGGCGTGCTCCATCTACGCGCGCGGCGTGCTCGTTACACACGTACGCCACCGGATCCCCGGACGGTGGCGCGCGGGGAATGGGGGAAGAGAAGCGGGCAGGTAACGAGAAACGAGCACCCGCGTGATTCACGCGCGGACGCCGCGCGGACCGATGACAACACAACACTCGCGGACAACGATCGCGGAGCGCATCCTTCCTTCGCGCGACCGAGCCGACGTGCATCCGCGGCCGACACTATTCCACCTCGGGATAGGCGAGAGCCTCCGAACGCGTGTATCTGTCAACCTGCTCGCGCGTGCCCCCGCATACGCACGAGCGGGAGAGAGAGAGAGAGAGAGAGAGAGAGAGAGAGAGAGAGAGAGAGAGAGAGAGACGACGAGGACGGA